AGGTGGCGACCTTGACACGACGAGCGCTGGGCACGAACTCTCTAAACCAGGGTCATCCTTGGACATAAATAGCGAGCGTCTACCGGAACGCGGCGTGGGGGAGGGGGGGGGGACGCCAGCTGCAGGAAGAGTGGGGGGAGCGAGGCGAGTCACTTGTTACAGCTGATTAAGGACATGCCATACACACACACTCACACACATACACACATACACATACACACACACACACACACACACACACACATGCACACATACACACACACTCACACACACATATATACACGCATATATATATGTATATATATATATATATATACATATATGTATACGCATATATATATATAAATATGCACATATACATTCCCCGACGCGGCAGTCGTAAAAATGCCTGCAATCTGACTGCTGGTTCGATTCCGATTTCACGGCGAGAAGCGACATATCGCCTTGAAAAGTCAGACGCAGGTGTCGTAGGGGAAGTCGACGCCGTGGCACAAGTGTTAGCGCACCGAACCGCGGTTGATTAGAAAGGATATTCAATCATGCAAGGGTGGCACTGCCATATAACCTCTCAATAGTGAATTAAGAGAGATCTATGTCTTGCAGTGGAATGGATATCTGTTTAAAAAATATGTATATATATATATATATACATATATATGTGTGTGTGTATATATATATACATATATCAATAGTAAAACACTCCTCCGTGCTGTACTATGGTAGAAAAGCCCACAATGCAAAAACTAGACCTACCGCGACTCCTTTCCTCCTCACCTTCCCCTACATCAACTCTCTCCGTCGCCCTATTCATCCTATCAACTGCAGACTGATCTTTCGTCAGGTAAACCCTCTCCGTCACAAACTAGTCCATACCAGTCATCCCTCTATCACGATGGTGCGCTCTCATGCTGTTTCTTTTGCCTCCTGTGATAAGGAATATTTTTGCGTCAGTCTCACTAAGCGTCTGTCTCAACACAAGTACGTTGTATCCAGGGAACGCAACAACAACGCCCTCTTTTGCCATCAGTCGGACAGCGGCGCGATTTGTCTCTCCTTCCGCTGATGTCCACGCCCGCAGACTGGTGGAATCCATTTCAATAAAGCTGCTGCCTAATTTGAACTTGAACAGCGGCTTATCTTCTGCCGACAGTCTCCTCGCTTCCCACATTCTCCGCCTTCTCCCTTCTCCCAGCCACCCAGCGCATAGTTCGCGCGATCTTCCGACTTGACCTGCGTTGCCTCTCCTCTCTCTCTTTTATACCCCTTCCCTTCCCTTCCTCGTCAGACCTAAAGACGGAATCCAGGGGATTTCGAAACTGTAGTCTCATTTTCAAAAATCTAGTTTTTGCATCTTGTTTTTTTCTACCATATACATATATATTTTTCTGTCTATCTATCTATATATACATGTGTGTGTATGTGTGTATACATATATACATATATATTCATACATATACATGTATATACATATATAAATCTGCATGTATATACACGTATAAATACTTAGATAAACACACACACACACACACACACACACACACACGCATGCATACATATATATGTATATATATATATATATATATATATATATATATATATATATATAATTCAAAGTAAGATCAATCAAATATTTAAAAAAAAAAAAAAAAAAAAAAAAAAAAAAAACATTATACAACAACCACCAACGACTCCCGTGCAAAAACATGTTACGAGTACATCGGAAACAACGACAAGAGAGGAGATAAAGACGCAATACCTGACACTGTAGTCCTGTCCTCAGAACTTCATGGAATCCTGTGAATGACTGACACTGTTGCAGATCAGCATTCATGAGGCGTAGATCGTTATCTCTATTCGCCACTTACTGTCTAGAGTAACATGTTTGTGTTTATCTCCTGTTTCTTAGACCCACTCTTAGCTGAAGTCTGCACTGTATATCTCATAGATATTACCATAAATATATTTCACCAAATCGCATCTTGGGGGACATATAGATATCGCCTAGGATACTAACTTTATCCAGCTATGAAGTTTACAGATATAGATACTATATTGAATATGGGAATAAAATAATTTAAGAAAATATGTAAATGTATTTGCATATATTTATATATATATATATATATATATATGCAAATACATTTACACATGCATGTATGTGTGTGTGTGTGTGTGTATAAATATAATCACTGGACGATCCGACTGAACCTCAACCGGAGCTTCTTTGTATCAAGTGGTTAGGAGAAAAGAACGAGATATTTGTGGTCATGTGGGCAAAATGAACAGATGGGTAACAGATATGAAGATTTTCCACCCATAGAACTCGGAATTATGATATATTCCCAGGTTGAACCGCCAGAGGTTGAATTTTTTTTTTCTTTTCTTTTTTTGATTTGCGAAGCAGAGCCATGCCCGGGCTATGCCTATGTGGGGAGCCCGGTTCTAAGGATAAGTCCGATATGCGAAGTTGAGCCTCGCCCCGGTTATGGGGGAGCCCGGCCTGTGCCGACTAATGTCGACTCGCTATCAGTGTGTCAGCTGGTGCTGACTCGGCTTTAGTCCTTACCCGCCGTGGTGCCCAGCCACAGCAGTGACCTCCAGGCGACAATTGCAACTTCTCGCGCCTGAGCGGGGCGCGAACCGCCGACCCCTCGGATGAGTGCCCGACACGTTACCACTGTACTAACCCGGAGGCTTGCCCGGTCCTTACAGTATCAAGGTCCTGTTCACCATCACTGCTGAGCTCGTGCCTCGATCTACAAGAACCATAGGAAGTTTCTTTGAGAGAATTCCATATATTACTGCTGATTTAATTGCTATCAGTCTAACAGTATGTTTTTTTTTCTTTTTCTTTTTTTTCTTCTTCTTTTAAACTATCATCACCTTATTGTTGATGATGAAATGTTGTTATAACTCTTTAGTATAGTTTATGCTTCCCAGGTTAACATTTTCTTTGAGTAATACCCTGTGATAGAAAATGATTTTAGGGATAACTATAGCAGATCTAAAGTGATTTTTTTTTTTTTTTTTTTAATAGTAGTGGTTGTAGTAGTAATCATAATAGTAGTAGTCGTACTCAGGTAGTTGTAATTTTAAAGGCAGTAGTATACTTATAGTAATTATAGTAGTAGTAATAACAGTAGTAGTATTAGTAATTGCAGAACTAATAGTAGTAATCATAGTTGTAGTGGTAATTATAGTAGCAGTAGTATTTGATTATATCACTATTAATGTTATTGTCATTGTTAATATTATTATTATTATTATTATTATTATTATTATTATTATTGGTTTGTTATTATTATTATTTTTTATTATTATTATTACTATTATCATCATCATCATCATTATTATTATTATTATTATTGGAAATGATATCAATAATAACCCAACACCTATATTCAAATCAGTTCCGTCACGGCTAGGATGTGTATAAGGTGAAGTCTTGTCTTTAAATATATATATATATATATATATATATATATGTATATATATATATATATATATATATGTATATATATATATATATATAATGTATAAACACACACACACACACACACATGCACACACACACACACATACACACACACACACGCACACACGCACACACACACACACACACATATGTATGTATATATATATATACATACATACATACATACATACATGTATGATAAGATTTATTGATAGATATATAGATACACCCACACAGGCACTCACTCACACGCACACGCGCGTGTGTGTGTATGGTCTAGCTTGCACATATCTATACATAAAAGAATGAACCTCGTTATCAGTTACTGTTATCTGAGAATCTAATATTGTAGATAAGATTAGGTGGAAATGAACGAGAAGTTAGCCCTCAGCAGCTCAGTCGCACGTAAATTCCCTCCACTGTGTTAAGGAACGACCCGAGAATGGCGTCTGGACGCAGCCATCTCGTAAGTACAGGCTGTCACTGAGAAATAACTACAAAGTATGTGAATGGAGATATATATGTGTGTGTGTGTGTGTGTGTGTGTGTTTGTGTGTGCATATACATATATATATATATATATATATATATATATATATATATATAATGATTTCTATCTAGAAGTTTATAAGTACCATTTCAAGAACATTCTGCAAGGAAACCCATTAGCGTCTCGCGCTGGGCCATCGTTCCGCCGCGGTCCTCCACTGACGCCGGCCTTTCCCTTGCAGCTGGACCTGGTCAGGGCGGGCGACGCAGGGGCGCTGCAGTCGGGCCTCGTCTCCCTCGGCCCGCGCGCCACCAAGGACTTCTTCGGTGAGACGCCGGGGAACTCTCGCTTCCCGTCGTGGTTATTTTTGTGTTCAATGTCATTCAATGATTTTCTTTTTTTAATCGCATTGTGGTGTTGGATTGGTAAGAAATCTTCATTAAAATTCAGTCACATAAGTGTATGGTTAGACCTCAGAGGCCCTCGAAAAGAGCTCGCCTTTCGATCAGTGTTGACCCGCTGCTGGGAACTAATCCTTAAGAGCAACGCTTCTCTTGACAAAGATTCGTTAAAAGCGAACAGATAGATCTTCGTTGAACAGATATGACTCGCGCTTAAGAGGACGACCTCCGGTGCCCTTCGAGGTTGAGTCGTTCCCCCGGCGACGAGGGCGGTGGAGGCGGTCGTCTGGTTATTTACGAGGCGAATGATCATTCAGTCAGTAGTTACAATGATGCAGGACTATGTACGAATAGCTTCCTCGTGGTGAACACGATATCATCATCCACGCGAAAATCTAATATGCACCTCTCTCTCTCTCCCTTCGTCTTCCCCCTCCTTTCCCCCTTCCTCTTCCTCCCTCCTCTCCCCCTCCTCATCCCTCCTCCTTTTCCCCCCTTCCTCTTACTCCCCCCCCCTTCCTGTCTCTCTCCTTTTTCCTCCTCCTCTTCCCCTTCCCTCTTCCCCTTTCCCTTCGACCCTATCCTCCTCCCCCCTCAGCTGAGAAGCCGTTGCATGTTGCTGCTGAAGAGGGCCACGACGAAGTAGTGAAGATGCTAATCTCTGCGGGAGTTGACGTTAACGGCAAAAATGACAAGGGTAAGGCGTAGATTTGCATTCTAAATAGTATTGATAAGGATTACGTTCTTAACCCATGCCCATTGTGAGTTTACTTGTTTAATTGTTTTTACACATAGATGGCTACACTTGTACAAAGTCACCAGTGAGCCAGTTGTAAGTACTGCCTGTCTCGTCCGTTCACCATTTTCTTTAATTTTCGAAAATATTTTACATTATCTTATTTTGCTGTTACTAATATTTATAACATTATAGTAAACATATTATTTATAATAAAAATAACACTATCGAGATTCATAGCACTAGTAAAAAATACATTTTCCCGCCAATTCAAGGAAAGGTGAAATCAGGTAAGGCAGAGCCATCTATGTGTAGAGACATTTCACAAAAAAATATAAAAAATGAGCACAGCATTTCCTCATTTTTTATTCATTTTATTCATAATAATGATAATAGCTGTGGTACTGATAATAACAGTAATCTTGATAATATTGATAATGATATCGATAATATGAATGTTGATGTATGTTGATCATTAACTGTAATAGTAGTAGTAGTAGAAATAGTAATAGTGATGTTGATGACAATAATGGTAATGATAATCATAATCATAATGATGATAACAATAATGATAATAACGATAGTATTGACATTAATGATAGTAATGATAATAATAATGAAAATGATTATGAGGATGATAATAGCAACAATAATAATGATTATGGTAACAACGATTATAATAATAACAACAATAATGATGATGATGATAATGGTGATGATGATGATGATGATGATAATGGTGATAATGATAATGATAAAGATAACAATGAAGATAAATGATGATAATAGTAACAATTGCAATACTAATAATGATAGTGATAATGATATCAATAAGAATATGAATAAGGATAAGAATAATGACGACAAAGATAAAGATAATAATAATAATAACTGTAATAGCAATAATAGTAATGATAATAATAATAACAATAATAGTAATAATGATGATAACGATAATGATAATAACAATATTATCAATAGTAATAGTAATGATAATAATAATAACAATAGTGATAATAGAAATAAAAATAATAATGGTAATGATTGTGATAATAAGACAAATAGTCATAATAATAATAATAATAATGATAATAATAATAATGATAATAATAATAATAATAACAATAATAATGATAATGATAACATTAACAATAATAATGACAGTAATAGTAATTATAATGGTAATGATAATAATAACAATATAGATAATAATATTTATAATAATAGTATAACAATAGTAATGATGATAAAAAAGATTAATAATAATAGTAACAATGATGATAATAATATTGATAATAATGGAATTCATAATAATAGTATTGATAATAATAATAATAATGATAATAATAGCAATAGTAACAGTAATAATGATATGGATGATTACAATAACAATAATGAAAACTATTATAGTTATGATTTAAAATGATAAGAATAATAACAATAATGATAAAAATGATAACATAATAATAATCCTGATAATAAGAATATTGATAATATTAATGAGATAGTAATGGTAGTATTAGTGTTAATAAAAAATATAGTAATGATAACGATAAAAAAATATAATAATGATAACGATAAAAATGATAATTATAAGAATAACAATAATAATAATATTATTATTATTAGGCTAATAATAATAAGGATAATGATTAGGACAATTAAGATAATGATAAGAAAAATCATAACAATAACAATAAAAATAATTATTACTATCATCATTGTCATTATCATTATAACCATTACCCTTATCATCATCGTTATTACTGTTACTGTCTTTACTTGATTATCATTTACATAATTTTCATTTATAATATAAGCATTTCCTAATTTACATATTATTTTCACCACTTTCATTGTTGTTGATGATTCCTACATACAGTAACAATTCACATTTATACTACATGTGTTACTATATGTGTGTTTATTTCTGCGTCCACACAATCAATAGCGATTTGTTTATGGAAAGAAATCCCGATACACGCATTTTTTTCCCCTTCAGGTTGGACTCCATTGCATAGAGCTGCCTATAGCGGCCACAGCTCGGTGGTGACGGTGCTTGTGACCCGAGGGGCAACTGTGAACGGCAATAGTAATCGTGGTAAGTTCTTTGGTGGCAGTTGATTCAGTGAGATACTAAGTAGAGTTCGTTTTGCATCAATATTGAGTGTTAAATGGGTTCTTGCACTTGCGATGGCTTAGGTCGAGGGAAGAAAGGAGTTAGTATTTGATTGTTTACAGGAAGGAACTCTACACTTAAAATTTCTGCGTGTTAAATTGAATGTAAAAAAGAAGAGTGGGTGAATAGATGAAGGGGATATAGAGAGATTAGGGAGATAGGAACATTTTCGAGTGAATAGAGAGACACGGAAGAGGAAAAGAATGAAGAAAATAGAAAGGGATGAAATATACTGTGCAATCTTCTGGGAATCTCAAAGGTATTCCAAGAAAGATCTTTTTCATTCATAGCAAGTCCATATATTGCAAATGCTGTTGATTATGATGTGCGCATGTCTAGCTTCTTTCCTATGAGCAAGACAGGACTGAGTTCTTGCAATAACTCGCTTTAACACTTGCAGGGCTTGGATAATCGAGGCCAGGATAAACATTAAATGGGAGAGTAGGCAAATCATTGACGCTTTGCAAAAAAATTATGGGGACACTGCCCCAAAGAAATCAGTAACCTACAAATGGATAATTCGGTTCAGAAGTGGATAAAACGAAATTGAAGATGAGCCCACAGCGACAGGCCATTAACATCAGTTTGTGAGGAAAACATTGATACTGTTCACGATATGACTGAAAAGGATAGACGAATACCCACTGAATCAGTAGCAGACACACTCAACATCTCTGTGGGTTCTGCACACACAATTCTGGTGGAGAGTTTGGAGCAAAGCAAGGTTTTCGCTCGATGGGTCCCTAGGCTCTTGTGCCCAGATCAGCAGCAAAGGTATATCTTTCACTGGAAATTGTGAACAAAGCTTTTCTGCAGAGAACTGTGACAGGGGATGAAACATAGTGCTACCCGTACAAGCCCGAGGACAAAATTCAAATCAAAGCAGTGGCTGCCCAGGAATGGAAGTGGACCGTCAAAGCAAAATCTGAGCGTTCAAGAGGAAAGGTCATGGCCACGGTCTTATGGAGTACAAAGGAAATTTGCTGGTTGACTTCCTCGAGAGCAAGAAAACAATTACATCTGCGTATTATGAATGCGTTTTGAGAAAACTGTCAAAAAAACTCAGAAAAACGGCCTGGAAAGCTGCATCAACGCGTTCTCTTCCGCCACGACAATGCACTCGCTCACGTCGCTCGGCAGACAAGAGCTGTGCTGCGTGAATTTCGATGGGAAATCGTTCGACATCCGCCTTACAGCCCCGATTTAGCCCCATCTGACCTCTCTTTGTTTCCAAACTTTAAAAAATCATTGGAAGGTACCAATTTTCCATCGGCTGAAGCTGCTCTGACATAGTTCAGATCACATGACATCTATTTGGCGGTCAGGCGTTATTACCTGCATTTAAGGGTTCATGTTTGAATACGTTGTAACACGTTGGTACGAATGCTCTGATGCACTGAATCAAAATCCTTCTACTTTGGATCCCCTCCCTTGTGTGTATATATATATATATAGGCATATTTATCTATCTTTCTATCTATCTAGATATTACATGTATATATATATATATATCCATCTCTTCCTATACAGAGAGAGAGAGAGATAAATAGATAGATACACACACGCACGGAACCACACACACGCAGATATATATATATATATATGCCTATATATATGTTTATATATGTATATATATATATATATATATATATGTGTGTGTGTGTGTGTGTGTATGTATATATAGATATATATGAATATATATCATCATCATCATTGGGGGGCTAACGCCGGTAGGGGCGCATAGCCGCGTCCACCCTTCGTTTCCACCTGCGAGGGTCTCTCATGGCGAGCCGCCAGGCAGGGGCCCGGCCCATCTCTAGTTCCTCACGACAGGTTTGATCGATCTGCCCAAGCCATGACCTTCTTGGTCGTCCCACAGGCCTCCTCCACCCAGGGTTGTCTCGAACAGAGACAACCTGATGGGCAGGATCATCCTGCGGGAGTCGAGCCAAGTGGCCATATAGCCTGAGTTGGCGATCACGGATTGTGCAAGTAACAGGTCCTGTACCGGTCTCACGGTGTAGCTGTTGGTTGGACACATGGTCCCGCCAACTGTACCCCATGATCCGGCGCAAGGATCTGTTACAAAAGGCATCGAGACGAGATTCCAAAGCACAAGATAGCGTCCAAGTTTCACTACCATAAAGTAAAACTGGCAGTATCAGGGCCTTGAAAACTCGTAGCTTGGTCCTTCTGCACAGGTACCGGCATCTCCAAATACTCTTGTCGAGAGATTTCATGACCCCTGCTGCCAGGCCAATCCGTCTACTGACTTCCTGGTCTGACAGCCCAGAGTCATGAACTGCACTACCGAGGTATATAAAACTCCTAGTGACTTCGATGTTTTCACCGCAAGCACGGACCGACTGCACAGGGTCTCCTAGTAGGCCCCCAAAATCCTGGATCTTGGTCTTGGTCCAGGAGACCTCTAGCCCCAGGGGCTTCGCTTCATTGCTAAATGCATCAAGAGCCGCCACTAGGGTTTCCAGAGATTCAGAAAGAATGGCAACATCATCAGCAAAGTCAAGGTCTGTAACCTTGATATTGCCCAGAGTTGCTCCACAGTGACTTTGGACAGTAGCTCTACCCAGTATCCAATCCATGCAAGTGTTGAAAAGTGTTGGTGCAAGGACACAGCCTTGCCTCACGCCTGAACTAACAGGAAAGAAGCTCGACAGGCCCCCGCCACACTTTACAGCACTTTCAGTGCCTGTATACAAGTTTGCTATTAGCCCAACAATCCTTGTTGGAATTCCTCTCAGTCTCAGGATCTCCCAGAGTGATTCGCGATGCACCGTGTCAAACGCCTTCTTGAGGTCGATGTAGGCTGCAAGCAGCCCACGTCCGAACTTACGACGGCGCTCTACAATGACTCGAAGCGCCAGGATGCGGTCTATTGTGGACTTACCAGGAGTGAATCCAGATTGCTCCGGTCTTTGGTGCCTCAGGAGGTGGTCTCTGATACGTCTCAGTAAGATGTGGGCGAGTACCTTGCCTGGCACACTGAGCAGTGTAATGCCTCGGTGATTGCTGCAGTCCCACCGATCCCCTTTCCCCTTCCAGAGAGGGATGACCATACCCCTCAGTAGGTCAGGGGGAATGGTACCGGTCTGCCAGATGGCAGACAGAACTGCATGCAAGCCCCTTGCCATAGGTTCTCCACCAGCCTTTAACAATTCAGCTGGGATGCCGCAGACACCTGCTGCTTTACCACTCTTCAGCTTGGAGATCGCCCCCCTGACTTCAGTCAGGGAGGGTGGATCCTCGCTGATGAGTGGGTCTGGCAGAGGAGTCTCAACATTACCAGCATCCAAGTTAACTGTTGGTGGATCAACCTGATACAGCTGCTCAAAATACTCAGCCCAACGCACACGCACCCCATCAGGATCTGTGATTACCTGACCACTCGCTGAGCGGACTGCCGTCGTCTGTGAGGAGGGCTTGGAGTTCAGCTTTCTCAGGGCTTGGTAGGCAGGACGAAGGTCATTTACTAGGAAACGGCTTTCGACCTCCTCTGCAAGATTACTGATATACTGTTCCTTATCCCTTCTCAGCAGTGACCTAGTCCTACGCGCCAGAGAACGGTGCAAATTGCGATCCCCTGACAATCGAGCTGCACGGCAAGCTTCTGTGGCTTCCAGTGTCTCCTGCGAGATGGTATTCTGTCTTGCTCTAGGGCGTACACCAATGGATTCCTGAGCTGCATCAAGCGTTTCACGCTTGAAGGAATCCCACATAACAACAGGGTCTGTCATCTGTCAAGCCCTCGAGTGCTGTGAACCGACCAGAGATAGCCTCAGCAAACCCCCGGGCACACTCATCCTCCCTCAGTCTGTCCAGATGAAACACCCTGGGGTGCTCATTTGGTCGACGGGGGGTTTTAAAGTGGACCCGGAGAGTAGCCACAACTAATCTATGATCAGTTCCACAGAACTCGGCGCTTCGATACACCCTGCAGTTCTGGAGGATCCTCCACCGAGTGCTGACGAGGATGTGGTCGATCTCCTTGGCCACCCTACCCGTATCGCTGTACCAAGTCCAGCGATGCGGGTCAGAACGCTGATACCAGGAGCCAGAGATCCTCAATTTCTGGGACCTAGCAAAGTCACGGAAAAGGAGGCTATTCTCGCTGCCAGCATCAGCTCCTGAGCCATGGGGACCGACAGACATCTCGTAGCCAGCTCGATCACATCCGGATACCGCATTGAAGTCGCCCAAAACAATACGAATATCTCGCCGAGGACAACTGTCTGCCACAGATGCAAGTTTGACGTAGAACATCTCTTTCACCTCAAGTTTATATACATCCGTAGGAGCGTACACAGCAATAAGAGACATGAAGCCAAATGACAGCTTCAGTCTCAATACCATTATACGCTCATCGACTGGAGTGACCTCTACTACCGAGGGTTGAAGTCGGCTGGAGATGGCTATGGCTACTCCCTGGAGATGGTGGTCATCGCTGTGGCCCGACCAGTAGTAAGTGTAGCCACCCACACTAATCGTGCCGCTGCCAGGTCTTCTCACCTCCGAGAGAGCAACCACCTCAACTCTCAGCCGCTTCAATTCCCTCGACAGTAGTGGTAACCGATCATCCTGTCGCAGGGAACGGACGTTCCAAGCCCCCACCCTGACAGCCCGCCTGAGGTTTAACCTCTGGCAGTCACTCCGGGTGGGCGCCACCTCTGCCACCCCTACCGACGCCGCCCCATATAGAGGTTGGCTGGCTGCAGGTCCCCTAATCCACCTGCAGGGCTCCCGGGGGCTTTCCCCCACAAGCATCACGCCAGGCTGGCGGCCGCTGGGACCCAGAGGGGATGAAGGGTAACCCCCCCTCCCCGCCTGAGTCCCAGCGGTCGCCAACCCAGAGGGACCCACAGCCTGCCGTTCTTGCTGGGTAGGAGGGGCTTTAGCCCTCCCCCCAGCACCAACTTCTTTATGAATCGTTGCCAGTTTGGTTGTCTCGGAGGGGCAGACTGGCAAGGCCTGCCCCCCCACAGCCTCCCCTTAACCCCGGGGGGGCACGGGGGCAGGAGTTGGTACGAAGCCAGGGCGTGTCCACACGCCGGTGGGCCATGACTCCGTACCTTTAGGGCCTCCTGCTGCTCCAAGAGCCTCCACAGTTCAGCCTAGGACCGCAAGGTACCTAGTTTCCATGGGTGGCCACGAGGAGGCACTGCAGAAGTCTTGATGATGGAGAGGCTATGAGCTGGCAGGGGAGTCTTATGAATATATATATATATATATATATATATATATATATATATATAAATACATTTTACTCCTCTTCCCGTTTCAGGGTGGACTCCGTTGCACTTAGCTGCCCAAGAAGGCCACGAGGCGGCGGCGGAGGAGCTCATCGTTAGAGGCGCTGAGGTCAATGTAAAAGAAGAGAAAGGTGAGTAAATATTAGGGAAGACTGGTTTATTATTATAGAGAATATTAAAGGACACATTAAACGACTTAGATACTGCCATTATTATGTTCTTTTTTTAGTAATTTTACGCGTGTTGTCATTCATATGTTTATTACTTTTTATTATTATTTTTATCTTTGTTTCTAATTAATTATCTTATCTATTGTTATTACTATCATTATTATTATAATTATTATCATCATCATTATTACTATCATTATTAGTAGCCTTATAATTATAGGCTTATTAACATCATCATCATGATTATCATTATTTTTATTATTGTTGTTGTTATGATCATTATCAATGATTTCACTGTCATTATCACTTTTTTATTATTAGTATTACTATCCTTATTTATTATTGCGTCTGTATTATTATATTTCTTTATATCATTATCTTTATTATTATTATTGTTATTATTATTATTATTATTATTATTATTATTATTATCATTATCATTATCAGTATTATTATCATTACTATTAGTAGTAGTATCATTATTGTTATTATCATTATCATTATTCTCATTACTATTACCATTATTACATTATTATTATTATTATTATTATTATTATTATTACTATTATCATTACTACTATTATTGTTATTACCATTATCATTATTATTATCATTATTATTATTATTATTATTATTATCATTATTATAATTATCATTATTATTATTATCATTATTATTACTGTCATTACTATTACTACTATTTTATTACTGTCATTAATATCTCTATTGTGTATCATCATCATTATCATTAATATCATTATTATGTATCATTATCATTAAATATTATCATTATCATTATGTCTGTTATCACTATCATTCTCATTAGCGTTATTATCATGAATATTGTTATTGACATTTTTATTATCATTTTTATTATCATCATTATTATAATTATAATTGTCTATTGTTACCATTTTCATTATCATTATTATCATTATGATTTGTTTTTATTATTATTATCTTTATTGTTATAATATCATTATTATTATTATCATCATTGTCACTGTTATTATTAATGTTATTACAATTATCATTATTTTTGTTACTATTATCATTATCATTATAATGCATTATTATTATTTACATTATTATTATTATTATTGTTATTATTATTATCATCCTCAGTATCATTATTATTATCATTATTGTTTTTGTTGCATATCATCTTTATTATCATCATGATTATTATTATTATTATTATTATTATTATCAATATTATTATTATTATTATTATTATCATTATTATTATTATTATCATTATCATTATTATCATTATTATTTTTTGTGACCTCAAGCATGTTCCTTGTACTGCCATTGGCCTCCTTGAACATACTGCCCTCAGCCTTCTCTCGGGAAGTCATTGTCACAAGGCATATGACGCCCATTCTTTAGTCTTCTGATGTAGTCACGTGGGTGTTGTTCATTGGTATATGGTTTTAGTGCTAAATCTAGCTGGTCATGTGGTACTTGGGTCAACTAACTTCACGATCCACATCTATTGTTTTGTTCCTGGTGTACGTTTGTATGAATTGTCTTCCATTCTCGTTTATTTATCTTCGGGAAAATTAAATTAAATGTATAACGTATCTTCCTGTTTCAGGTTGGACGCCACTTCACTGGGCCGCCCGACAAGGCCACAAGACGATGGTGGCGATGCTGGTAGGCAAGGAAGCCGATCTGAATGCAAGGACAGAGGAAGGTAAGGCAGATTCAGGCCTGATTATGTTTCTTGAAAGGTAACAGGGATGTAGGAGGAATATCGTAAAATTGTAACATTGTTTTCAGGGGAAGGCAATATGGGTAGTTCTTTGAGAATTCAGGAATACCTTTCTTCCATTCGCCTGTCGGTTGGGTCTGTTTATTCGACGTCTGTTTTAATATCAGTAGGGAGAATGAAGGAGACTCCACAGTAATGAAGACAATAGTATATAATAATGACAGAAACTAGTAATGGTTATAATGGTAATCAAACACAAGGGAAGATATATATATATGGTACCAGTCCCTTGCCTACATTTCAACTTCTTATTGATATTAATTCTGTTTTAGTGTTTCCGTTGATCCGATCCTGTTAACGCTCTGTACCATCTTTTGGGTTACGTCAGGCTTATAAAGTTATCCGATCCACGGTGTCATGTCACTTCATTGTCATGTCATGCTAATTTCTCTTTCTTTCTGTCTCTCATTCATTTTTCATAATAGATCTTTGAAGAAATTCTCCTTGGCTGTCTAAATGGCAATTTCAAATAAATGTGGTAATTTGTATACATCAAAAAATAGGT